AAGAAGCATTATTTATTACCAGGTATAAAATACATCTGTTACATTACCGAAGAATTAAATACATATACGATATTCAGTTGAAGGTTAATAGCGAATAAACTAACATCTGCGGTGTAGGCTACATTTTCGAAGTAATTTCCATCACATTTTTTATCGTTTAATTTATTTTAAATTAATCGCAACAATTACATTTCTGCATTTGGAATCGAAGATGATAACATATTAAATTGCTAGGAATAACTTTTGGATAACTTTTTATTAAATGAAACCTCTAGGCCACATTAAATAACACTAAAATTAATATTTTAGAACTGAATCATTGCTTCGGCGAAAGTTTAATGGCATAGGAAAGTGTTATATTTCTGTTAGAAATTATATATTTTTACCTTATTTTTATGTTTTATATTTTTAATTTAGTTTACATAACGAACAAAATTTTTGGTAGTTGCAGGTGACTGTATAAAAAACCGGTGTGTAAGTCATTTAGTCGTATTAAATAAATAAAGTTTAACTAATGAGGTTCTATTTATGTATGTATGTCCGTCATATGTACAAGATTACTGATGAGACTCTTAGAGAAGAATAAATTCGCGATGTATAATATTCGACAGAAACTGACTTCTGAATCTTTCGAAAATAGCAATCATGTTCCATAATAGATATTTCGGAACACGCTAGAGCACCTCCAAGAAAACTGGATATGAAATTTGCATTTTATGGCATTAAGACTAAGGAATAACAAATCATATCCTCTTTTATTCCAGTCCCGCTATCAAACGACGCATTTAAACTCGAAAACAGAAAGAACAGAGAGGCGAAAACTGAATTAGGCGAAGCAAATTTTCTCTCTCAAAAATAAACTTCCCTTTCCTTGATTTCCCGGTATTCGGAATTAGGTAATTAAGATAAAAGCTTTTTGAGTAGAAGTTTTAATTCTCGTAATTGAACATTACATTTTCTCCCATCAAAGCTTTCTTTGCCGTAGCTGCTTGCTTTAAAAGCGCGATATTAAAATGCACTTAGTGTCACTCGTTACTTCTGCGAATTTATCATAATATAGCAAGGGGGGTTCTAGTAAATCAATTTACAGCCGCGCGTTAAGCACCGGAATCGCAAACTCGCGACAAGAAAGAGTTTAGGGAATTGCTTTCAGGAGATAAAATATATATTTTAAAGCATTGTATTTGTGCGATTTGGTTCTATATGCCTTATATTTGTTTGATTCCTCTGAAAGTGTTGACAATCATTGGATAAAACAAAGAGTGATTTATCTATATAAAAGCATTCTCTTATTTCAATAATCCTCTTTCTTCAAAAACGCATAAAAATGCAATTTCTTTATTCTGTAATTATCGTAAATAAAACTATGTAACTTTACAAGCAAACAAAGAATGCATACATTTGTTATTGCACAGATTTTACATTTAAGGAAGTTTAAAATTTTAAAGTTAATATAAATTTTAATCTTTTCTACCTCTTTATCTCATTTCCAACTAAACCCATTTAAAAAAATGCAAATTTAATTAATATTTAAGACAATGCAATGTGAGAAAGTTATAGTAGTTAACAGTTGGCAACCCCAGTCAGCCTGATACTGTGAGAAGATTTTCATTGCGACTCTTTAGAGTCTATAGCAAGGCCAAACTTCACGTTAGTAAGAGCAGCATGATGGAATTCAGGAAAGTTTGAGAGCAGCAACTAGATTCTTCTAAAGCCACAAATCCCTTTGCACATCATTTTAAAAGTAGTGACAGGTTTCAAATGGAAAGAAACATGATGACTTGAACGAAATGAAGTAATTAATAACTTTCTTCTAGACTAAAACTAATTTAATTAGAAACTGGATATGAAATATGTATATCTACGTAATATGTACGTAATATGGAAGTAGTGTTAGTTGACCATATTACGTACATATATTGTTATTTACGTAAAAGCTGCAGCATTCGCCTGCAAGAGCCAAGCTGTGACCATTCTTGGTCTTTTTAAAGAAGGAAAGCATTCAACAATAGCTTTCGCGACTCCGAGCCTTTTTTTAGAAACAAGGGCTGAATAAATATTTTGAAATACAAATTCTACAGACAATATTTTTTCATAGATTCAGAATAGAGCGCTAGGTATCATGTTACGTGTAAATATTACTCGAAAATAATAACTGTAGTCCACCTTCGTCTTTGTCAAAAGTAACTGATTTCCACATGGCATCCGAATTAAACTATCAAATGAAAATTTTAAATTAGCTATGGAAGCAGAATCGCAAAAGTTGCAACTATCACTGAAATGACAAAATTATTGCTGAATGTGATAAAGGCTTCGCTAGGGCACTTGTATCAGTGTGAATATGGGATTCTGTGCCATTTTTTTTTTTTTTTTCAAACGCCCAAATTCTTTCTCATTGGCTGTTTACTCCCAATAAATAAATAGACCTCCAAAACGTTCTTGAAAAGTTGCCCTGTATTTATGCCATAAATACAGGGCAACTTTCTACTAATCTTTTCTTACTAACTTCCTACTAATCTTTTCTTTTTACTAATCTTTTCTTTCTACTAATCGTTTCATACTAACTAATCTTTTAATGCAATAAATTCTGTAATTTCTAAAGAATGAAAACATTTAGGTTATCTCGAATTGAAGTTTTGTCGAATCAAACATTTTTGTTTTATTGCCAATGGGATCCATTTTTGTTTGTTGTCAACAGTTGACGCGAAAATAAATTTTTAAATACAAATTTAAGATGTAAATATTTTTAATTGCGCAAGATTTCAATTTTCATTCACTTATTTTCTCTCAAAATATTTATGGTTTTAATATAGCATTAGTAAAATTGCGATTATTAGAAATCATGGAACAATATTCTTTGGACTAGTGTACTTTTTACTCACAAATTTGATATTTTAAAATTAAATTTGTGTAGCTAGAAATAATGAATTTGATCGTGGGCTCCTTAGCTATCTATTAGATTTGGCTATTATATCTATTTTCACTATAATTTTAGTGACATCCATAATATTATATACAAAATAAAATCGTCATATTCAGTTAAGATCCTTTAGTGGCATTATTTCGCAAAAGAATTCTAAAAATGAAATTCAGAATGCACAAATACTTTTCGGTTCTACGTTATGAATGCCTTATAGAAGTTTCTTCTGGCATTTAAATTTAAGGTAATTTATCGATATACTGACTATGTCTAGACTTGCTATTAAAGATTTCGGCTCAGAGAAGCGAAAAAAAGTTTAGTATCAATGTAGTCTCCAAAGTCACGAAAATCGGCGTTACGAATTCATTGCAGCAAGATGAAAAGGCAGCCAAAACTTATAAGTACTTTGAAGTACATTAATATCTGCTGAAATGGTTTATTTGAAGAATTCTTCAGTTTTCGATATAACAAAATATTATTCAAAGCATGATAAAATTGAAAATGAAAGAAGATTTAAGACATCCAAAACAAAAAGATAATAAAGGAAGACCATCCAAGATGCCTTGTGGAATGCAAGAAAATATTATCTAAGATAATTAAAATAGTCAAACACTGGTTTTTCTTAAAAAAGGATAAGAACATTATTAATCATATAGGATATATCTTTAGGGAAAGATTGTTAAAATAGTAATCACGTATGTTGATGTGAAGTTCCGAATGACAAATTAAAATTCAATATCAACGAAGGGGGTTACTGTAGAAATCCTCGCTGAGAAAAATATCACGGAGAAAATAACGCAAGAAGAAAACGTCGTCATGCGAAACATCGTATGAGAAAAGAAAGCAAGAAGAAAACACCGCAGTTCTAAAACATCTTAGCACATACATCGTAATGGAAAATATCGTGGTAAAAAAACAAAGCAGGTACTAATTATCGTATGATGATAACATAGCAGGCATGCGTTTTTCAGGCTTTAAGAGTTGTAAACCTAAAAAAGTTGTAAAAAGAGTTGTATTCGCATAAAGGTTTGTGAGCGTAAGAAGGAATGGGGAATATTTTTACTTTTATATTTTTTAACTAAAAACTTTTGCTGTAAAAGTAAGAAGGAAACTTAAGCAATCAAAATCTGCAGATTACTAGAAAATTAATGCTACTTCTAAGAAGATTTAATAGAATTTTATATTTTGATAATTAATTAAACAATTTTAATAGAGGTAACACGTAGTTACTCAGCTTCTTTTCTCTAATCTTTTTCAGACTGTATTTTTCATGACAATTTACCTATAATTTTTTTATAAAAGACATCAGTTGATTAATTACCTTTATTAGTTAACTATACTATAAGTTTTAAATTCTATTAATTGTTATACCTAGCATTATTTTTCTACACATTTTCAGTTTTTGAATGTTTAAGCTTCCTTGTTATTTTCTCAGCAAAAATTTATTGGTGAATTCAGTATTCCTTGGTCCTTCTTACGCTCACAAATCATGATGCGAATATATGAAATTAAAATGCACGTCTGCGATGTTATCGTCATGCGATGCAGCTGCTTTATTTTTTACTACGATATTTTCAATGATGATGTTTTTAAACTGCGAAGTTTTTGAATCGCTTTATTTTCGATGACGATGTTTGGTATCACTGAGTTTTTAGAACAACGATGTTTCCTCCTTGCTTTGTTTTCTCCCACAATCTTTTGCACGACGGCGTTTTCTCCTTGCGTTATTTTCTGCTGCTTCCGTTGGCGATGTTTTCTGCGGACATCAACGAGGGAATAGAAAAAGCTTCATTTTTTCTCCACAAAATTAAAAATAAATAAAACTTCTAAATACTGATGAAAAATGAAAATTTGAAAAATGTTTTGATAAAAAAAACTAATTTAATTCCTCTTACCAAGCTTCGAACACAAAAGAGTCAAACGTGAATATCCGCAAAAGAAGTCAGTTGCAGTATAGAAAACGGCGGAGGAAGAATTACGATATGGAAGTGAATGTCATTTTTGATGCTATTATCTTAAATTTATTGATGTTTAATGAATTAATACATTGACATTTTAAAATAAAATTTAAATTCATTACCAAAAAATCATAACTGCAGAAGTAATTCCAAATTCTATGAAGAAAGGAATCCTCCCTGAATATATTGTTTCGAATGGGGGCTCCAGCTGCTCTTTAATACTCTTGAAATATTCAGAATATCTTTTTAACAACCATGTTTAAACCCCATCGAAGTTATCTGAAAAGAAATAGAATATAAAATTCGAAACTATTGTATTTTTAAAAACAATTTAAATAAAGACAAATTATTTGCACTAGAATAATAAAAGCCCTAGGTAAATTCATATTATAATTAACCATATGTTTAAAAGCTAATAACAATCAAACAAAATATGACACTGTTTTTAAGATTTGAATAGTATTTTTATTGTTTAAATTAATAATTTTTTTATAATTATTATTTAATAATAATAAGCATCCCAATGCTTTTTTACTTAATTTTCTCGCGCAGAGCAGATAATATTAATTTTAAGCTTGATACCTTATTTTGAAGAAAAATATTTAATGTAAAAAAACACTATGTAAACATTAACTTCATAGGAAACTACGTTTCGTATGTTCAGTTTAGTGTATTTAAAAGTTTTGATAATACTTTTGGAAATTAAAAATGCTTCACCACTTTTCTGAAACACTAAACTTCTATAAGTTCCTTTCCGTTCCGTTCTTCAAACGGCTCGTGAAAATACATTTTGTATAGAAGACTATTTCATTTTTGTACTTTTCAAAGCAAAACTATTTTTATTTTTCAAAGCAGAAACGATACAGGAATCTGAGAAATCATATAGCTAAAGGCACAATTAACGGTGTCATTCATAACAGAGATAGAAACTGATAGTTATTTCTTTCTACAGGAAAGAGAATACTAAATATTTATCTAAAAAAGATATATATATACACTCTTAGACGGGGGAAAAAAACGAGGGACCGAGAAGGAGTTATCCGAATGGGACGAAAATCGGTAGAAGTGATATACATGTACAGAAAAATAAATGATTACAATTTGAGAAAACTTGAATGATTTATTGAAGTGAATCAGTATTTTAGATCAATAAATTCAGTATCATAATCTACACATTCCTTCTCAACTCCTCTGCTCTGCTAACGTGAAGTCAGTCGCTTCTCTTTCTTACTTTAAATATATGTTATAAATACGTGAAAAGTATGCATATAATTATTGGAAAAAAGGAGAAAAAATCTTACAGAAACTAGCTGAGTCTTCTTAATTCCAATATGTTTTGTCCAGAATAAAAATGCGTTCAACCGGCCATGACAACAGCCTACGTCATTATGCATCTACTTCCCCATTCATCATATCATCGCACAAAATTTCTATTTCGTATGTCTATTACTTCATCTTTTGACTTTTCACTCCCGAGAATAACGGAAATTTGCCAACAGTTTAAGAAGATCTAACTTTTATCCAATCCCGTGCAAGCTGACATCATAAACTAATCGCATAACTTGGTAATAACACTCTCTTTAAGGAAATTAAGAATCTGGTGTACACTCGTAAAATTTCAGACTAAAACTTTCCTTTAACAACTATCTTCGCCAAATAAATAAATATGTCGTTTACCAAATGTAAAAAGTTAATGTACCAAACTTTCCCGCCTATTGCGCCAATTCAGCTTTACAGTTAAATTTCGATAGTTTGGCAGTTAATGGTGGGTACACCTGATAATCTGGCATTCTTTCACGGACGTTCTTGCCATAAAATTGAGACTACTAGCTTTTCATTCGACAATATTCGGAAATACTGAAAAGCTGTTTTGCGTCTTTTTGCCATTTTCAGGAAGTTCTTTTATTCAAAATTTCACGTTCATATATATTTTGCTTTCTTCATCTTTATTCAAAATGTTTTCAGGACTTGATAAACAAAATGTCAGTATAGTAAAAGAATCGAACGGAAAAGTGTGGCTTTAATAGCTCACCAGTAGGTGGGCAAAATTAATCCAACCTATTGATCAAAAAGTTACTCAAAACTTTAAATGTAGAAATTCATTTGGGCAAAATTTATGAAACTCTGATCGCAACATCAAGCACTTTCAGGTTCATTTCAAGACAAAAGATGCAAATTTCACAGCTGCGATTGCTTGAAAACACGTGAACAACACAAGTACAAACTCTTTGCGATAATTACGGCCAAATAACATGATGCAAAGTTCTGTCACAGAAAGCAAAATTATTGATGATTCAATAACCAACTGCTTAGAAATATTGGAAATGATTAAAAGTTTCGCTTCGAAAAATTCATTAATCACGATTTAAAAAACAAAACTTTTGAATGAATGAGAAGTGAGAAAATTGAATCACCGTTTAAAACTCCAAAGTGTATTTGAATCTGCAGGTAACAAAGATTGTTTATTTTGGTTTGTGTGATTGCGGCAAAGCCTCGAAGGATATCTCCCTAAGGAGAGGTTTGCCTTCGTGGAGGAAAACTTCCTAAGGAAAACTAGCTAGTATACATGTTACAACAGTGGGAAAAAGATAGAAGTGCCTATGCAGCCAGCCCGTTCGTAGAATTCGAACCATCGACCGAACTACCAGCGTTCAACGACTTTACCGTTCGGCAGCTGGTATGCTTAACAAGGAGGTACTAACATTTCTAATTAATAAGAAATGGGAAGTGACGAAAAAAAAACTTCAATTATTTAGCTTGAGCCACTTGAAGCATTAAATACATTTCTGAATTTCGTCGGAAAAACGTTATATATATTAGAGAAATATATATATCATGTCGGATTCTCCTCACCCAGGATTTGGCGACTGGGTCCCTTAAAAACCCTTTCGCTCTTCAAAAGGGGGAGTATTTAAGGTATTTCCCCCCCACCTTCCTAGTGTGCATTCGTGGTGTAGTGGTTCTGCACGCTGGGCCGGTATTCTAGAGGTCTGTGGTTCGATTCCCAGCGAAGGCAGTTGCTAATTTTTCATCTTTCCTGCTTCCAAAAAAATACCTAATGTCTCTACAATGGCCCCCGAACTAAAAGGGTATTGGATGATGATTCTCCTCACCCAGGATTTTTGCGATTGGGTCCCCTAAAAACCCAAAATGGGGAGTATATAAGGTATTTCTCCCGCCTTCCTAGCGTGCCTTCGTGGTGTAGTGATTCTGCACGCTGCGCCGGTATTCTAGAGGTCTGTGGGTCGATTCCCGGGGAAGGCGTTGTTAATTTTTTATCTCTCTTGCTCTAAAAAAATTACCTAATGTCTCTACAATCAAATAAATACAAGTTACTAAATCATTTCTTTAAAAAAAAGCGATCGGAATGAAGCGAGTAAACATTAGAACTTTATTTGGAAATATTTCATACGTTGGTAATACTGAAAACTTAAAAACAAATTGAATGTTACTGGACTAAAAAAAATAACTGGACTAAATAATTTACTCACTGAATATATTTGCAGAATTACTGTGAACAATTACTTCTCGTATGAGCAGAATTTCTTCTCCTCGATGCATTTTATAACGGCGAAAGCAAAATTGTTTTAAGGTAAAACACGATTTTAATCCGATACATTTGATATTCCGGCACTGCCAAACTCCCGGACGTACGTGATTATCAGAATTTTGCTGTATGTTGGTTACTTGAATAAATCTATGGAAAAATATCCCAAAAATAAAGAAATGTGTCTAATGGTCAAGAAGAAAATTTTTCAAACTTAAGCCAGACTTAAAATCATCTTGTACTATATAAATAAAGAAAGGAAATTTGAAGTGCATCAGTCTTCATTTTCTATCTGCGTCACATGTTACGTATACTTTCTAATAATTATTATTATATTCATAAATATATATAGACAAATCCTTCTAGGATCTTGTAGGAACAATAACCATTTGAGATTCAAATTCCTATCTGGACGTTCTGACATTCTCGTAAATCTAGAACGATCGTTTAGGTTTACCTTTTAATGGTATCAAACTCGAAATCTGCTCTGGATGCTTTTCAACAATGACTGGACTTTAATTTCGGTCGTAGAACGATAAAGACACCGAGCAAGCGATTCCTTCCAAAGGTTTCCTCATTTAATGGAACTTCCATTATTCCGCATACATTTAAAATTCTCTACCCAATTATATTTTCGCATTGTTAATACGACGAAAACGAAATTACAAGGCAAGTGAAAATCACAACCTAAATCATTAATTGCTTTAACATTATTGCGTCTTTTGGTTCGGACGTATGGCTCTTTTCTCCAATAGTGCATACGAAAAGTTTTACGCCATTCAATCGCTGGAAAACGGTTCTAATAATGAATTACTCCCCAGACCTTTCATATCAAGTTTCTGCAGCGCAAAATGTAATTAATGATACTTTGGACATTACCTGATTGCAGCGGGAGAAGAATTTGCATAACAAAGTTCTGTTCCGTGCTTATTAACCGGATGAGTTATTAATAACATTTCGGAAAATGATTACATTCTCCTCTAATGCGCGTAAACATAATTAAATGAAGGAAGTCGGTCTGCTCCCGTGCGCTACGAAATTACTTAAACGATCGCTTGTACTCACAAAATGGCTGAATCGAACGAAAGATGATAATATTATTGTTGTAAAAGGGCCACGAAAATTACCCCATAAAATGTTTTCTCCTTTGTTACCTTCTTTTTTATTTCATTGCCATTGGACAGACTTGTCTTCTTCTTCTCCTTTTTTTTTTCCCCTTAGCATCCTTCCGCCTTTTTGTTTGGAAGAACAGTTTCCTCAAAGGATAATCATAACACCATCTTGAGTCCGATTTAGTTGTTTATTCGCTGCTTCCTACGGCTGTTGCCAAATTGCTCGAGTGATAATAAATCAATAATCTGAAAAGAGAAAGGGGCGGGTGTCGTTTTTGTTTTGTCAAAGCTCTTCCACAGGAGCCAAACAGCGATGATGAATGTGTAATTAGACGAGGAATGTGCGTTCGTCATTCGGCATTTAATGAATTTTCCGAGGCTCCAAAACTTGACTGTTACGTTGATTAGTTTATTGGCCGTCGGTTTGGCTTTCGTTGGAGTTTAGAAATGAATATTGCATGGCTGGAATTCTTCAGGTAGGTCAGATTCGTTATTGCATAACTCCGAACGACTCGCTTTGAAAATTAAATGCATAAATTTGCTCTGCGTTTCTCCCCCTTGCGGAGCTGCATTATTTAGAATAATTAGTTGCTTTTGAGCTCAGCAAAGCCTAAATGGAATCTTTCCGGGGGAATATTAACTCGCGTAAAGATATGGAATAATTTATAAACTGGTAACCACCGATGTCTTGCCTTGTTGCTTTAATTCCATCCCTCGTGAAACACGGAAATCTATTTGGAAATGCAAATTATACCTCAGAAAGGATAATCTTTTGTTCTTCAAAATATTTCCGGGGAGAAAGATTGCTATATAAAAGTCAGGATTAACTGAAACCATTCGGAAATTCCGAATTTGTACAAACTCTTTCCTTTTGATAATTTTCTTAAAGGTATGAAACTTCTATTTAAAATTTAGTTGAGTTCTTAGGAATCATTTTCCACATTTTCATTAAAGAACCAATAGCATAAGAGATCGGTTACTTCTGGCACGCAACATAAGTTAAAAAGTGATTAAAAATAAAAAATTAGCGCTGGACTATATTGAATACCTTATAACTGTATTGTAATTTTATATATTTTAAAACAATATAACTTAACTCAACATTACTTCAAGAGCCAAACTAAAAAAATAAATAAATAAATAAATAAAATAAGCAAAACAAAAATTGCAATCTAGATCATAAAAGTAATGAGACAGTAATCATAAAAGTAAAGGATATGTACTCACGTTACGTATGAAGAAAACCACGTAAGTATCTAAGCAGCTAGCCCGTTCGTCGGGCTTCGAGCCCAAATGAATTTACCATTGATCAACAGTCTTATACACTCGTCATTGATAAGTCTCTTTTACGTCAAACAAACAAGAATGTGCAAATGGGAGCGTAAAACTCCTAACTATAAAAATGCTAAAGCTCAATGATTTTTATCTAACATAATTCATTTCCATGGGGTTTCTAAAATCAAGTTTTCATCTTTAGGAAGTTATGAGTCATATTAAATATGAAAATGCTTTTCAATGCAGCTTTGCATATCACAAAATTTTCTTTTTATGTATTTCCCCCCTCCAAAAAAAAAGTTCTTTAGTAAGATAACGAGCTATTTTTAACTGTAACTTTTTACGTAAGTGGAAAAGTTAAGAATGTAAGTTTCATATATTCTTTACTGAAGTACCTCACATGACCAAAACAATTTTAGTCTAAAAGCCTAGTTATGTTCTGAAAATAGTATTTTCTGAAACTGTAACTATAACTTTAAATAAATTCTCACATTAAAAACATTTAAAAGATATTTAAATACTTAATCTTGTAGTCTTTTAAAACAATCTGTATACAGGATGTTCCATAAATCCAATAACACTGGAAAATCTTACAGAATTTATTCCGAAACCACCTCCCGGCAGTAGATACGTCTAATAGATATCACTCCACATAATTGTGACAGGATGTTACTTTCATGTGCTACAGATCAAAATTCTTCTCAGTATGAATAAAGATGTTTAAGTGTTCTACCTCATATCTGAAAGTGACGTCATGTCTGAACTTCGTAGCAGCGTTCAATATTGCCTTAGCATCTTATTCAGCGTCCTGCTAATTTGCGGTCAATACCTATGATTTACAGTTTATGGACACGCTGCATTGGAATTTTTTTTTTTTTTTTTTTTCCAGTAGTAGAGAGAAAATAAGTGGCTAAAAGGGAAGAAAAGCCAAAACTATTTTGATTAACAGCGTGTAAAGTATGTTAAAATGCAGTACCTAAATAATGTATCTGATATGACATTTAAATGAGATTTAAGATAAATCTAGATAATCTATGTAAAAATGATGAGTAACTGCAACATAAAATTAAAACAAACTTGAAATGATTCTCTTATTTGGAAATTTCTTAATGAAAATAAGAGAAAGTTCACAAACATCATCTCATGGGAGAACGAAGGAAAAAAGTGAGAAAGACAAACAGAGAAATTGTCAGAATGACCCATAAATAGACGAAAACCATAAGATGTTTTCAGCGACTGGAGCAGCGCAGTGAAATATTATAATTCACCAACTAACATATCTTTGAGATGATTTTTATGTAAGTTTACTTCGAAGTACCTTACCTCAACTGCTAATTTTCAGATAAAAATGATCTGTTCTTTGTTTTTATTTCCTAATATAAGCTTTACATTTTCTGATGCGACAACTGACAGAATTTATGGTTTGAAATACGCTAAGAAACGGCAGTTTTCCTTTCATGAGAAAAATTTAAAACACAGTGCTTTTATTTTAAAACAGCTAAGGAAAAAAATTATTACACGAGTCTCGTATATGTGTTTATTGTTCAGTTCTGACTATTGTTGCAGTTGTTTTAGATACTTTCCACTCTTCCCCTAAAATAACTATAATAATGAACAGAACTGAACAATAAAGTCATATAACATAAATGTAAGACTCATACAATGATTCTGCTTCTTATCTATTTTTAAAAGAACCTATTTTACAATCTCGTCTATGAAGAAAATTATAGAAATTCATTATTATAAAACTTAAATTTTTAAATTAATCATATGGATATGATTGAAATGTTAAAATGGAATGAAACATTTTGATATATGTGAAGGAAAGATTTGAATTTTGACCTGATCAAAAAAGGATTGATCGATCCATTTACTTTTATTCTCCCCTCCGATCTTACCCCTTCCGAATAGCTTCAGAAAGGGCCGTAAAAGACTTTTATTGCAAGTAATGAGTCAAGAACTTGCGTGGTTAATGACAATAGTAGCCAACCGTTCTTGAGCAGCGGACCAAACATTGTAAGAGCCATAGACTGTACTACAGCCATTCTGGATCTCGAGACAAACGGATGTGGTCGAATATAGATTTTTTTCTTTTATTATTTTTAATAGAATATATTATTATTTATCTCCAATTATTTTTAATTGACTGATGCAATAAATATTATATTTTAAATAATAGTGAACGTAATGGATGCTGTTAAATAACGCGAGATTTGAACTGAGCCCTCAGTAGGTTTTGAATCGGTGAGCTCTGGGTTCACAAGACCAAAAGATCGCTGGAACTTTGAGGCAAAACTACAGCTGATCACCTTTAGCAGTGAATGGCCATGATGATAGGGGCATTCACTGCTAGGGGAAGTTATGAGTGAGCAAATATCATCTCCATTCAAGTTGCAGCTTCCTCACCGTTACCCACCATCCGCTTAAGTAAAAGCATATATTCCTTAGAATCAAATAGCATCTCGCTAACAGCATCCTTTCTACCTCAACTAGTCAACGCATTTGTTTCTTAAAGGGTTATGAGGATATACATTTCTTAACTTTCTGTGGCTTTATTTTTTTCCAGTTTTCAGTTTTAGTTATAACGTCCTGTCTCTCTACAGTTTTGCCTTGTCTTTTCACACTTTCTTTTATTTTACAAATAGAATTTTTTTTCACCTTTTTGCAAAAGTAAATTTATTTTTTCTTTCCATAAATTTGTTTTTTTTTTCTATAAATTTTCCATTCTTTCCATAAATTTATTTTCAAATCTAAATTTTATTTTTGATTCTCTATTTCTCACTTCTTTTTAAAGTAAATTTTGATCGTCATAAAGTAATTTTTTTCACTCTTCTGTTTTTACAAATTTTAATATTTAACTTTTTTTTTCCTCATTATTTTTTCAATATTATTATTTACTATTTTTTTTATTACTTTTATTATTATTTTTTTACTATTAATTTTTATGTTTTACTGTATTTATTTTTACTTATTACTTTTTTTAAGTATTATTTTTAAATTTTTTCGCGTTTTTCTTTCCTGTTTTTGGAAACGTAAATTCTATATTTTTGCTTTTTTTTTTGCTTTTATACTTTCTTTTAATTCGTTTTTTTTTTTTTTTTTTTTTTTTTTTTTTTTAATAAATTTGATTTTACATTTTCCTTTTCTCTAAAAGTAAACTTATGTACATTTCTTTGTAAGCGAAATTTGAATTCGAAACACAGAAATAAAATCAAGTCATTCTACTAGTTCTCATGGATAACATTTTCTGAAATACCAAGTCAGATTATATAAATATAGCTCTACCCAGTTTAATTAGAGTGCGTATGAAAGCTATTACAAATGCATAGCTGGAGACACTCAGAACTCTCTTTCCTCTTAAACCCATTATTTCTATTACTAAAGCAAATTCTCCTAACACCTTAAAAAACCTTTGCAAAATATCATAGATTCTTTTCCCACACACGCACATATTTATTCTAACCTTATCTAAAAGGTACACATTTCAGATAGGCATTATTTTATTTAACGCTGAACTATTGTAGCTCTTCGAGCATATTTTTCATTTATCATTAATATCATACTTAGCAGATAAATTCATGCTTAAATACCATACATAACAGGTCGTATTAACATAATTCCCATTATGATCCAGCCTAGTAAATACTGAAAATATTTTGCTCATTTTAGTATGATTTAATCTTAAGGACAAGATTTTCAGGCTATCGTTATTTTCATTTAATACTAGGATAAGAAGCTTGTAAGACAACATGAATAAAAAATTAACAGAAAGATATCAGTTGACATGCACTGATAGCAAAGATAAAATACTATTTCTAAGTATATAGAAAGCTACCGAGAAGGCACACCTCAAAATTTTTGTAAAAACAT